TATTGATGAATTTAAATTTGTTTGTATAGTTGAATCTTGTCGTCGTATATCAGTCCATTCATGTGCTGCTGATTGAAGAATTTCAACAACTTCTTGATGACCTTCATCTTGACGTTCACGTGCTTTATCTAAAGCTGTTCGACCATCTTCATCACGTAAATCAACATTACCACCATATTTTAATAGAAGACGTACAATTGATGGTCGTCCAAAACAAGCTGCATAATGTAATGATGATGATCGTTGACCACGATTAACATCAGCACCACGTCGACATAAATATTCAATCATTTCACGTGTACCAAATGCAGCAACCCAATTTAACATTGTTTGTCCAACATTATCTGTATAATTAACATCAATATTACCTTGTTCAATATGATTTATAAATCCTTGAACATCACGTGAACGTATATATTCAATAATTTGTTGTTGTGAGCGATCACAGGGTATTATACCATTGTTTGTTGATGTTGCTGTTGATGACGATGAACGTCGAGTTGTATCAATCGTTGTATTTGTTATTGGAATAGAAGCATTCGTTGTATTTGTTGTTGTACTTGGTGTAATCGATCCACGTAATGTACTTACTGAACGTGGAAGGGCTTGACGTCCTAAAATAATTCAACTTATTTATATGTGTTCATATTTTTTTTTCTTCTAACATTTTTTTGTTCCATATGACACGCTCATATGACGAGATTTCAAATGAATATTCATTGTTTAGAAAATATGATTCAGCTGAATAGTAGACTTTATATCGCTCTAATAGAAATGGTTTATTATTATTATAGTCTCTTTAAAGTTTCTTTTTTTTATACAGATAAATGCTTTAAAATATCATTCATGATTTTAGTACAGAAATATAACATGTTATCAAATAAGAAAGATATATGTGAAATGATTTCATAGATAATATACAATTTTCATATAAGATAATAACAAAAACAAAAAATTAAACCAAACTTTATGAATAGTATCACATTGATATAGATAGAGAAAACTTTTTGCATTATATTCTTAAAAACTTCCGTATTGTAAAAAGCATTTTCCACTCACTCTCGCGAGTCTCATTCTTTTGTGTTTCTTGCAATACGGATTTTTTTTCAAGATTGTAATTAGTATAAAAATGAATAGTTACAATATTTCTCATTTTCAAAATGAAACATTGCTTATTTTAAGGAATTCGATGAAACAGTGGCTGAAGCACTCAATTATACATTTGAATTATTGAATAGAAATGGTCCACAAAGGAGGTTCAAACACGTGCTATGAATATTTTCCTTTTTTTTCCACAAAATATTGTAGCTTAGTTTGTTTTTGAATAGTATTAAAATAATGGAGGATTATTCTACATGGGCAGCTAGTTATTTTTTTCGAAATGTAAGGAAAAAATGCAGGGTTAGCATTCTCAACATCTTGGAGTAAAATTTAGTGCTCAGGTGTTAAACTTACTTCCCTGATAAAATGTGTGTTTTCATTTCTATTTTTTGATATATTTATGTAATCATTTTTCTTTTTCAGAGTGGATGCTCGGGAGGGCTTCAATGCAACTGGACAGAGTAATGTGGGCAATAAAAAAATGCAATTTTCACCTTAACACCCTTCATGGATGGCCTCATATGAACTTGAATGTTTCAACTAACTAATTGTAATTGTTCACTCCAGATACATCAATATGATGTCATTTATAAATTTTGTTGTGATTTTCTCTTGACCTTGTCTTATATAAGATCTGAATATGATTGATGAGATGTTCCACATATAGATTTTTTCTTATGTGACAGCATGTTATATATTTTTTAATGAAGTCAAAAATGACATTTTCAAGGTATTATTTGTTTATGTTATTCATATCAAAGATTATATAAACTTTAAATAGATCTTTTTTTTTACTTTTATTGCTGTTTACGAACATCTACTTTTATAATACTTTAATCTCAATAAAATAGCAGATTAGCTTAAGCAAGTCTTATTTAGAAGTACGGCATTATTGCTTCTAAAATACGTAGATTATTCTTTTAAATAAAAAACATAATTTACCTTCAAACAATAAGACGATAAGTAGATCAAGAAATCGCATTGTATCAAGTACACATCGTTCATCACCACCACATAAAGCTGATTCAAGTGCATCAGGAAGATCACTACGAAGAAGATCATGTGTTACTTTCGCACTACCACGACAAAGTGTTGACAATAAACCAGTTACAACTGATAAATTTGTTGTAACACCTCGTGTATTTGATGTTGATAATGGTATATTATGATGTGTTCCTGTATTATCAACTGTTGTATTTGTTGATGATGAAACTGATGTTAATGTATTACCAGTTGATTTTGATACATAGTGTAATGATCGAAGAAGAACATCTTTTAAACAATAACGCATTAATGGTTCTGGATCAACATTTTTTCTTGCGAATCTTTTTTCAAAAAAAAAAAGAAATCTAATAAATATTAAATGAAACAACAAAAAATAACTTTCTACCTATCAGCTAATGTTGCAAAACATCTTAAAGCATTATCTGATACAAATGTATCAACATGTAAAAGTAATTTTGATAATGATTCAATTGTTTGATCAAGTGTTGGTGAATTTTGTGGATCAATTTTACCAATTAATTTTACAACAACATTTAATGCTGATTGTAATGAATCTTTATGTATAACTGAATACCAATTATTTATAAAATCGAGTACACAACGAAGACCATCTTGTTCATATATACTTGATGCTTCTCTTGAACATAAACGTTCAAAAACTTTTATTATTTGTTCAGCTAAATCTTTATTTGTACGATCTTCAATATCAACAACTTGTAAACATGCACACATTGAACGTATAGCTGATGAATGTTGAGTGATTTTTTTTGCACAATCAACAGATACATCAAGAAAATATGTTAATGCACGTGCTGTCACTTCAAGTACGCGTGTCGGAGCTAATGGATCACTGAATATATCACAGAGAGCTGCGAACAAAAATAAAATAATAGTTTTTTATAAAAAAAAAACAGAAAAGTCTCATCTACCTGGAAGGAAAAGTCGCGGTTGATACCTACATGTTTACGAAGCGCAAAAGATGTTTTATTAAGAATTAAAATAAAATAACTTACTGTTCAAAACATCGATCAATATTATCGCACATTAATACGAGCATACCTAAATAGAAAAAAAAATTTTCTTTTTTTTACTTATTCAAAATAGATAATTCATAGATTTAATCTGTCAAGTTAATATTCTTAAGGGTATTCCCTCTTTCTGATTCTCCGAGGGAGTATAACCGATCATGCTCGACTTTGCAATACAGCTACATTATCGAAAATTATGCAACTCATGTTCGAGGAAGAATTTAAAAGGCAGATCTTTAAAACCTATCGGGCCTACCTACGACTCCAATCTTATTTCGTCTGATTGAGCTGAAACTTTCACCACCAATGTTGGGAAGTATCCTCCAGAGCTGACATCAGTCGCTTTCGTTTTTGAGTCTAATTTTTTATGTATTTATCTAAGAAATCCAGCTTTTCAAAAACGTTCAAAAAAATAGATGTGAAATGTCTTCAAAACAAAATTTTAGCCATATAAAATAAAGTTTGATGGGAGTCATAATGTATCATGATGTGATCCTATGGAAAAGCCTCTTGAATTGTTTTTTTTTTGTCTTTAACCCTTAAGAGCCGAATGTCCCTTTCAAGGAACATTTAAATAATTGTAATCAAAGTCTTATAAAAATGTTGTAGACAAAAACCAATATTTTTCTGGATTGATATGACTTTCGAGGCCATACCTAGACCAAAATGTAGTATTCAGGTGGCTGTTAGGCGTAGCAAAACACCTTTTATGACTGATGACTTTTTTCAATGACACCTTTCTTCCCTAAAGTTGTATCTATTCGGAAATGCGACATGCAGTGTAGTTTATTTTACGTTACACTCTTAAGCCTATCATCAAGCTATTCAATGTCAGCGTTCTAGAATATTTTAACCGATCTGCTGACAGATTGTGCCGTGATCAATAAAAAATTCCTTCGATGAGACATTCAGCCTCATAGAAAAATCAAAACACTGTATTTCTAACATGAATCTTGGCTCATACATAGCCCTAGTAGTGTTTAAGAAGTGTCAAAACTTTCAGGAACAACTGTTGTTTCTTTCGTGAGATACAGAATGTTGAAGTTGTTAGCAATTTTTAGCAAAATTTAGCTGGTTTTTGGATTTTGAATATCTCAGCAAAAAAGCATCCGTTCTAAGTGAAAATTTCAGAGCATATTAAGTATTATCAAAACTATCTAAAGGCAAATTTTCAGATCGAAATTCCTATTTTTTCGAATTTTTACAGGGATGGATATTCCTGCCAACGGAGGTTGCGTAGGTCCAGAATAAGAAGAAGGTAATTATTTTTAACTATAGTACGAGTATACTGAGGGTCCATAATCTCTGTTTTTCTAATTAGATTCTTATTTTTATAAGCGGAAGCCACTTCGGCTCTTAAGGGTTAAACACTGGCCTCCTGATTCGAGGTGCTCTATCTGTAATCAAAACGGTTGTGTCCTCTTCAAAAATCACAATAGTAAAAACAGAGCTTGAAAATTATCATCATTATATGACTATATATTTTTAATTCAGAAGGAAACAATACAATGACATATTCTATTATCAATATAACTTACAAAGTTGCTCAAGTGCAGATATTTGTAGATCACGTTCGCCACCTCCATCTCCTTTCAGCCAAACTAATAATTCATCTGGATCAGCTTCCATTATATAATTCTACTGTTACTTTCAAAACAAAAACAAATGTCTCTAACACATTTATATCTAAAACCATAAAACAATTGTTTTTTTTTCATTATAACATGCAAATAATTAATAAAAGAAGATCATTCTACAATAATATATAAATGAGCTAGATGTCTACATCTGACTTAATAGCAGATTAACCCATAAGATTAAGAAAAGAAAAGAAGAAAACATTATCTGACAAGAAAAAGCATTCGTTTAAAAACAATCATTCATTTGAATATCTTGAGATCGATGTGGACTAGAACTACTTGTTGATGTACATCTTGATAAACCTGTTTTCCAAACATATTGAATTGGTTCAAAATCATTTTGAATATCATAATAACGATATGTATTGTTATCGTCATTTAACATAAAAGGTAATCTAATATCATTAACATTTCTTTTGAAACGATAATAATGTAATGAAATTTTATCGTCACTAATATAAAAATTTTTTAAATCACAACGAATTATATTATAATTAATATCTCCAAGTAAATAATAAAAATCAGGTTCTTTAAATTGAAATGTTATTGAATAATTAATTAATTTATTGGTTAATTGTTTATTATATAAATAAATATTTGTAGAATTATATTCAATAAAACATGTTTGATTATCTTGTTTAATACAATAAATATTATCTTTTTCATTTATACTATAAATAAATGTTTTTTGACCTTTTTCAATAATATTATCAATATTAGTTAAATAAATAAATTTATTATAATCATTTGATGAACGAAGAAATAATCCAACATGATTAAAATATTTTTGATGCGCAAATTTAAATCGTGTAAAATCAGATGGTCTTGCTAAATGTATACGTCCAAAACTATCTATTGGTAAACTTGCTATTGTATGTATGGATATTGATAATAGCAAAACAATTATAATTCCAATTGTTGATATTGTATTAAAAAATTGTGATAAATTATCTTTACGGTGATAATCATGACGTATTAACCATTTATTAAGAAGTATAAATAAAAAACGTATTAATGCAGCTATAATACCAATTATTGCTTTAGCTAAACTAATATACGTTACTTCACCATCACGACAAATAACAATAAGAAGATTAAGAGTTAATAATGGAACATCTTCAAACCATAATGTTAAACAATTTGTTATTCGACCAAATAATGATGTTAAACGATTTTGATATGTATCACGAATTATTTGTATTATTTCAAGTAAACTTGTAAATGTTGATATAATACAAAATGTAAATATTGCTAATAAGATGTTACGTGGTGGTGGACCAAATACAAGACCCTAGAATATACAAAAATGCTTTTTTTTTGTTGTAGAATATGAAAAAGAAACATGTTTTAGTTTACTTGTTGAATTGTTGTCTTGGACATAAAAAAGTACCAATCAACGAGTAAATCAACAATATTAAGCGTACAAATAATTAGAAGTACCCAAGTTTTATATGATCGACTATTAATTAATCGATAAAGCCATTGAAATTCAATAGATGACTGTTGTTGTTGAGTGTTGGATATATTGCTCGAGCTACGAGTATTTTTTGCCATCTGAAAAGTAAGAAATTAATTTAATAAGAAAGACTTTCTGTTTTTTTTTTGTATCATCATCTATTTTAACTTGATCTTTTTCTTAGGTCAAACTATGAGATGATCAGCTGTTGGCCATTGATTGTCATTTTCAAGGAAATTAATCCTCTACGGTTCTATACAAGAAAATAATCTGATAAATACATGGATATAAGTGACATCTGTAGAAAATAAAATATTTGATTATTCTACAGGATCTACATTTTCTATTTACTAAATTCTTTGATCATACGCTAATTGGCTTGATCTTAAAATTCAATAATATTCTATATGAGTGAGAGTGTGCATGTTTTTATCCTGTAAAAGTATCAAATATTTATTCGACTAATGGGATGAAACGATAGGATATATACTTCTTATTTCAAGAATATGTAAAAGATTCTTTTTTCTCGATTAGTAAGAATTTTTTTTTTCAAAATAAATCTTGCTTAAAATCGATTTCCAAACCATACAAAAAGATCGTTTTTATCATTAGTATGAACAAAATCTACAGCTGTAGGATCTGTTGATTGTTGTTGAAGCCAATATGCTATGGGATCATCTAAACCATGACATCCATAACGCCATTGAATATGCAAACTACGTAATTGTTTCATACGTCGTAAGATTGGACGGACAGTATTTGGATGAGCTATTAAAGCTAATGATAAATGTTGACATTTTGCTGAAAAAATACGAGCAATTGAACAAAGTAAACGGACACTAACAATGCCTAAATTAGGCATATCGGAATAATGATGAGATATAGTTAACGATTGAATTCGTTGAGATAATTGATGACAAACAATTTGATTAGTAAATTGATCTGTTAATATTTTTAATTTAATGATTGAAATAGTTAATGATTGAAGATTAGGTGCACGTTCAAGTAAACGTGTAAAATCATTCGATGACATTTGAACATCAGCTACAATATGTAAATGTCGTAGTTTTGTTAATAAATAAATCCAACTTGTTGGTAGATTAACTTTGAGAATGAGACCAACAATATTAGATGAAAGAAAACCAATATGTGGATCTTTACATTCTTGATTGAATACTATCGTATTTACTTTAGTATAATAATTGCTTTTTACTTCATCAAAATTGCTGATCGGTAACGTAGAAATACTCATATCAAATGAACATGTATTAATTATCATACGTGAAAAAGCAAAAGGTAAAGAATAAAGAGCACCCGTAAATAAACTTTTTGAACTTCGATCACATCGAATAAACCAATGTTTTTCGAATAAATAAAATGGTGTAGAAAATGATTCCATTGTTTGATTTAAATCACCTGACGTATTAAGATATTGATCAAATGGAAAAAAAAATTGAAAACTATTTAATAATGGTAATGATGATCGAATAAGTTCTTCCCAAATTTTACCATTTGGCATTGGACTATATCTTGCATTATCACATAAAGCAAGTCTAGTTAATTGTGACATTTGTTGTAATATTGTTCGAAGAACATTTCCATCTCGCCCTTCTTCATAAAATACTTTAAAATGTTTCAATGTTGTTGGAAATATTAAATTTTGATTATGACTACAATTATATTCCATTGTATATTGAAGACTTTCCAAACAATGGAAATTCTGTGACGAGAAAAAAAAAGCACACACATACAATCATACTATTTTAATTTAATCATAAAAATCTATTCCACTCACTTTTATCCAACAGGTATGCTTACATGAAGTAAGAACGAGCCGTTTTAATGATGGTAATTCAATCGATTGAATATTCAATCCACATATTAGTCCAATGGATAATGAAACAAGATTATTCAAGGACCGAATTTGTAATAAAAATTCTTGAGCATAATCAGGTTTCATGTGTAAAACAGTTAATGATTCTAACTGTTGAGTATATTCATTAAGTGGAAATAATCGAGAAAAATATTTTATTTGTCCTGGTGTAGTATCATCATCAGAAAGATATAAGGATCGCCATTTATGTATATCATGTAGTTGAGTAATATAATTAAATTTAGCTTTACTTATAAATTTAAAATTAAAATTATTTACATAATGATTTAATAAACATTGAAAACGAACATTAAGTTGGGAAAAGGCATAGACAGTATCTACACCATTTAAATAACCAAAAATTTCAACAAAAAGTTCGTTGGGTAAATGTTCAAATAGTGTAGATTCATGTTTAAAACGTTTTGGTTCGCTCATGTCAAACTGAAAGTAGAAGTGTGCTAATTTGGTTGCTTGTTGGCAATAAAAAAAAAACGTGCAAGCAAAATAATAATTTCTTTTTGTTTTTTGTTTCTTTTTTTTGCCTCCGCTTTTTCTCTTAGCGAAAGATGTGAATCATTGCGAGATAGAGAATAAAAAAACAACAACGAGATTCGAACAGAAAGGAAATATATAATCAAAACAGTTAGTTACTTGAAGAGTCCGATTATTACCAGTTGGTTTTTTTCTATTCTCGAATCAAATCAATTTAATCTTTAAATATTTTTAATTAAAAAATCAATAATTCAACAATTTAGAAAGACAACATTTATTAAATAAAGTTGTCTATATGATGTTACATCAATAGTGCTGTCAAAGTACAATTTTCATAGATAATATAATGTTAGCTGTAATTTGCTTATGTTTGATCTGACAGTTATTCGTATTCCTATTATGTTTAGCAATATTAATATAAAGGTCAAAAGTTTTTATATATGCATTAAAAAATAACTATCTCTTTCATTTTCTCATTTATATGTTCTTTTTGTCGATGAATACTTTATAGACATTATTGAGAATTAATAGATTCATTTCAATCCCACTAGTCATTGATAATTCGTGCGACAGATGAACATATTTATATCTATATATCTTAATGACATATTATCATATTTTCTAGAAAAGCAACTCCTATGACAACACTATCTACAGAACAGACATAGTTGATTGTAATATTACTAAACATAAGTAGCATTACTATGTTCAAATACTATTATTTCAGATTAAGGAGAATTTATTTCACTAATAAACAAATATATATTCGAAAGAATATTTCTTTCTGTTTAGTTTTCTGAAATTTCTTAAGTACCAGTTTTTTTAAATAGCAAATGAATTACATACCTGTTCAAAATCATATAGAACGTACTTCAATCAAGGAGACATGAAGGTAAAAGAATATATGCATACACATACTTTTGATCGAGGTTAAACAAAAAAAGAAAAGCGTATACCAACGATAGACGATCACAGAATAAGAGAAGCAAAAAAGAAAAAAAAATGTACACATGTACCAAACAATGTACCATACAATCTTAATAACACTTTATCAAGAAAAGAAACGAACTAAATAAGTTTGCATTTTACTTGGGCATCACAACCGAAACTACTGTGATGAAGAATGATCTCAATTACACATAGAGAGAAACAGATAAAACTGACTAAAAAATATTAAATAGTATCTTCTCATGTATCATCCTTGATTTTTATGAATTGTTGCATCTTCCACTATCATGACTTTGATAGTAACAGTTGAAAAATTTATTTAATTACAACTAGATTTGCCTAATTTTTTTCATAATTTACTTCCGACCAAGATAAAGATAAATCTATTAAAAAATAAAAATTATAATTGCTCGCTAATCAGTCGCAGGTCTAGAGTTTTTAAGAGTCAGAGACGATCATAGACAAAAAATTTCCTTTTGAGCGTTATTCGAAATAGTTTAAACTGGTTTTAGGTTTATTCTTTCTGAAATAAATCCAAGAAAACTTCTTAAAGACGAGAGGACACCTTTTGTTGTTCCTCATAAATCCTTCACTATAGCAAAAATATCATCAGTTATGCAAAAATAATATATAACCTTCATCTCGATTTATAATATTACCATACCTACTCGGTTGTTTTTCAAGTCACTATCACATACATTTCAATAGAGGATCAACTATCATGTCACATTTTCATACAGATCATAATTTTAGTAAAACAAGACAAATTTTTCTTAGAAAATAATTTGGAAAAAAAAAAGATTATCTGTTCAAGTGTGTCATTATCGATAGACAAGTACCATAACCATTTGCCAGGATGTCCTTAGCATTTACAGAGTCCAGCTGTTGGTTGCTGTAGTTAAAGGCATCTCTGAGCATCCGATAGTCAATCCGTCTTGCTTTTAGATTAGCCAGCTAGTAGTAGGACATATATTTTCATTGACTAATAAAAAAAAATCAAGAACAGTGTATTACCGACCTTCATTCAATACCGCAAGGTACAGACCTTTTGAATAATAGGCACAATGATTGCTATCATATAGTATCATTTTATCAAGTTTAATTTTACTTGTAGATTTGAAGTGAAATATAAAAGAGAAAACGAACATCGAATAAGTTTTGTTTCAATCAGAAGATATCTAGATAAAAATCTCTATAGTGAATTGTTCGACTAAAATATCAGGTTATTTTAAAACTATTTGCTTGAATTTATTTATTTCAGTAATATATACTAATGAATATTTTGTTTCGATTTGATTGCTATGCAAATATTTGTATCAACAAAAACAATAATTTTCAGTACTGACTACGTCTTTTTCTCATTCTTAGATGAGATATATTGTTACATATTTGTGAATTATACGTACATATTCCTTTATAGAAAAAAAAAGACAAACCATCGAGCTACTTAAAATAGTTCATTGAAATGGTTATCAGAAATCTCGAAGTGAGTTCATCATAACCAAGAACTTTTTATCTGTATGATCACGATTCAATTTAAGAAGTACTCTGCAGTGATTTAGTCATGGCAGAATCGTTTTTTTTCAAGAATGTTAACACAATCATCAATCAATATGATCACTATTTGTGCAAAATGAATAGTATCTGAAAGAAAAATGTCTCATAAAAAGTATGATTCTAGAATAGATTCATATATTATGAATTGAAGATAAGGCAGAGTAGATGAACTATACTAATGCTCAACAAAGGATTTCCATTATAATTTATAGTCTATCATTAATGAAGTAATAAATAAAGTCTTTTAAAAAAAAGCTAACATACTTCATTTATATATTAACGTCAATTATAAAATCAAAACGAGCAGTCATTATCATTCATGATAGTGATAAAGTTCAAATTTTTGAATGTTGTATGCTTTTATTTTAACCAATATTTCCTAATCCACAAATTACCATGTTCCTTTAAAGAAATTTTTAAAGTTCATAAATATATCATAGCGCTGATTATTAAATCAGTTACAGAAATTTCTCCAGTATACAGTCACTGCTAAACGTGAACATCGTTTGTCGACAATGTGAACAATAGTAAAAATATTCATCTGTTTTAACCATAATCTTCAATATGAGATGATAACGATTCATCAAACTTATGTGATAATTGGTTGCAAAACAATTTTAATAAGGACTAAATCCTTGGACAACAGTGGTTATATAAAATTGCTGATGATGACCATCACATCTTATAAATCAACGATCTCTTTTCTTTTGAGTAGAATAACATTGAAAATGTCGATACTACTCAGTTTATATCACTAATTAGATGAAGATCATTCCGAAATTTAAAACAAAAAATTGAAACTTCTTTAAAAATGATGACACAATAAAATTTTCCCAATCTTGAACACTTTGTGACGGATTTACTTATGGACTACCATACACCATAAGGTTGTTCAATTTGAAATAAATGAAATACATGCAATTTCACTGTCATCTAGTTGTTTATACACTAAATTATGTTCATGATTCAGCTATTTAAGTGAAAGCTATGATAATATTTTGTATATTTTTTCCATGTTGATGTTCAACTGTTATTGGAACCAAATAGACAAATGCTTTCAATTGAGCAATATGTTTCGCAGATGAAAATCATTAAGAGAAAAGTATTTCTTGTTGCGATGGATCATCATCCTTAGATAGACGTCATGATTTCCAGTATTGTTTGTTATTTTCTCAAATAATATGCTTAGTATTAATTAAACTCACCGAAACAGAGGACCTACCAATGTCTAATCTATTCGAAAGAAATGCATTGTAATAACACGAATTCATTTTATTACAGAAAAAGAAAACATTTTAAAACGAGATTTATATTTTGAATATCTGGATCCACAAATGAAATTGTTTTGAAATCATGCTTGTTAACTGTACCTTTTGCTTTTTTTATACTATTTAATCATTGACAAGCAAGGCTAATATTTCATTTTGAGTTCTATCTATAAATTAGATGATATTTAAGTTTCATTCGACAGTGAAATACGGTGCAACACTTCCAATGTTGATTGTTGGAAAAATTGATACCTCATCAAAACAACGAATAACCGTTTCAATGATTGAATTCTCCAAAAGATATTGACGCTTACAAAAATAAGCTTGTTTTATGTCGTCGTAAATTGAAAAATTTACATTTTTATCAATTCAGCTGATCAGGGTGAAAATGGAAGTGAACAGTATTCATTGTAAGACTCACTGCTTACTGAACTTTATTAACTAATACTGACATGCTTTTAATAATTACTTTCGATTGATCCTTTGATCACTATCTAATTCATTGGTTATTATCAGCTGTAATCAAAGCTGTCTTACATATAATCAAAGAGAGCAGCGGCTGACTTTTGTTGCTGTTTTCGTTTTCGGGTGGCTTTCTGTAAGAAACATTTAAAGTCATACTAAGAGATTAGAAAAAGAACGCTATTGTGTCGATTATGAAATTTCAATTTTGCGTTTGAACGACTATTATCGACACTTTCGCTTCTCCAGATCATCGCTATCGAAAATAACAACATGGATGCCTACACCAAGAAAGAAAATAAAACAAAACTAACTAAGGACTGCATTAGTTAGTCAGTCAATTTGTCGTTTCATTTCTAGCAAATGTGATTTTTCTCAGAAGCGTGGATTTCAATCAATTTCATAGATTACTCAAATATTTATAATCGTTATACAGAACTGTCGCCAGTGGAGGGGAACGAGGGAGGTGACCCTCTCAATCCTTAGAAAGGGTGTGGGTGTGGGTGTGGATGTGATAAGGAGATCTACACCCACACCACCACACCCACACCTACACTCACCCACACCTACACTCACCCACACCACCCACACCCACCCACACCCCACACCCCACACCCACACCCACGCCCACACCGACACCACCCACACCCACACCCACACTCTCATTTTTTATGTTCAATTTTCTCTGATTTTTGATTGCTGAGAGTA